AGAGTTTATCCAGAATTGTTTCTTTCCTAACGCAGCTGCCAAGAATTTGAAAACTCTTCCCATGAGTCAATGTTTTCCCTATTGATCTGCAGTGTCCTAACCAAGGGGAGGATATAGTGAACATGTGTGTGGATTCTAAAGAGAATGATGGAGAGCTCTGAACAGCAGTGCATGGGGCATGAGAAGGTACCTGCTCATCTGTGAGAGTTTATCCAGAATTGTTTCTTTCCTAATGCAGCTGCCAAGAATTTGAAAGCTCTTCCCATGAGTCAATGTTTTCCCTATTGATCTGCAGTGTCCTAACCAAGGGGAGAAAGGGATATAGCGATACACTGCACTGATCAGACTGCTGGAATGCAGCCTGTCGAGCCAGGGCAGCATCCAGCCTGAGTGACCCTTCTTGTTCCTTGTGTGTTTATGAATAATTCAGAAATCCCACGGACTGGAAGTGGATAGGAGAGCACAGGGAATGTTGGTATGCACTTGCAGATTAGTGCCCACACACGGTCAGGTGCTGCAGGCAGAAATTAAAGTTAGGATATGGCACACAGTGTGCAGCAGACTGGATTGCACTGCCAGGATGAATCTGTTCCCTTGAGGTGCCCTTGCAGAGTGCTGTGCTGCTCTGGAAGGTTACTTTTCCAGCAGTTTTGAACAGAAAGCATCAAAAAAGAAATAAAACATCTTGACACCTTTTTTTTCCCTATGCAATTAAGCTGTTAAAGTACTCAATGTGCTTCATTTTCTGAATGATGACTCAGATTGCTATGTATTTCACCAGGTTAGAGGTTGTGTGTGGAGGATTCAGCACTAGAGCAGCACAGTGTAAGATTCTTTGCAAGATTTTGCTGCTTCTTTTAAACACAGAAGTTAGTTTTGAGTCATCTAATGGAAATACTGAACGATCCCTACCCTCTAAGTCAGGAGACTGGGAATATATTAATCTGGCCAGAGAAGCTGAGTAATTTATTTGCATAAATGACTGACTTTCCCCACTGAAGCCTTAGCACATGCCATTATCAAGGTATTTTATTAGCCCTAGGCATAGTTTGAGAAGCAAAAAGCTAGATCCTTCTGAAAACTGGGTTGAGTTCATACCTACAATGCTGGTTTCGAGGTATTTTGAAAGGAACTTGTTATTGCTGATACTAGAATCCCAAAATCTAAGGGCAGTGGCAGCAAGTACAATTCCCTTGGCTATGAAAAATCACTGCAAGGGGTTTAAAATAGTCTGACTTCTGAATTGCTTTCATGTCTTTAAACACAGCTGAAATACTAGCAGAGATAAAAGTGGAATAAATCCTGTTATTTTGACTTTACTCCGAGTATAAGTTGCTAAGGGAAGCAGTTGGAAAAGAAGCTTTATTACAGTGCTATTTTGGTTGAAATTATGCCTGTCAGTGCTCTTACTGTTAACATGCATTAAGAAAGTTAAATTTGCAGTTCAAGCTGCTTCACCAGACTGTGTTTTTCTTGCTGCACAACGTAGCTTTTAATCTATCAGAGTATACAAATGTTCCAGAGGCTGGTGGGAAGTATAAAAGTACATTATTGGGGAACAGCAGAACTGCAGGCTGGAATTGTTGCTTGAAAGATTTGTACACAGATGTCTCTCTTAGCCACAGAGGTGTTGAAACTTCTCATGTCAAGCCCAGCAGCAGCTGAAGAGATTTTGAGGATAAGCACGTCTGTGCTTTTTACTTGTGCTCCATGTCAGTCTCCACACTCTGCATGTGTTAAATGTGACAGGAGAAAAGGGTAATGTTAACTCGTGTCCTTGCAACACCATTCTTAGGTGCACTGAGTCCTCTAGCAGCAGCATTTCACTCTTGCATGGATTCCTTCAGCATTTACTGCAGCTGCTCTGATTTTGAGGAGCTGATGGTTTTTTGTGATTGTATCTATACAGTGAAATCAGAATTGTGAGACAAAGGTGTGGAATATCTAATGATTTTATTTGCAAAGAGAGGCCTATTTGTCCTGGTTTAACCACACTACTCTCATACAGGGAGTGTGCAGCATTTGTAATATACTCTGCGTTATCAGACTGCTGGAGGAATATTGCATAATGCAGTTATTTCCTGTCAGCAAAGCTGGGTTGGAGACAACATTTCTGGTTCAAAACACTTCAGTGTTGCAGCAAACCCCGTTCAGTTCTATTACCCAAACAAAAGCAGTGTTTGATCTTTCTCTAATGTTTTAATAGCTCCAGTCTTGGTGACACATGTGCTGCTCTGACTCACGTGTCTCTTGCTGCCTTGTACCACAAATTACAGGTTTTCTTCCTGTACTGTGTTGGTCCGTGGTGAAGGGAGACCTGTCAGTGTCCTGTAGTCTTCAGCAGCTTTTTGCTACCCACTCTGCAGCATGAAAGAGAATGGTTTGTCACATGTGGAAGACACAGCTATGCTTAAATCAGATTGAATATTTTGATGTGGCCATGCTTTACTCTAATCACTCTTTATTCAAACAGGACTGTGTGGGGAAATGATGCATTACAAGACCATATTGGCAATGGTGCATAAAGAAATAAAACCAGGCTAATTTAAAAGCCCAATAAAACTGGCTGTGAACAGTTTGCAATGCTCTGTGTGTATGTTCTTTAGGGAGAAAGAACCCTGTGTTGCTGTTAATCTCTGAGACCTTCAAGTACTTTGCTGTAAGCATTCAGCCTGCCAGCTTTTGGCAGATAATTATTTTGTTCTCTTCCAAATTGAACACATTCAATTCAGTCTTCCTATTCAGAACAGCATATTCTTCCTGGGCATTTTTTTGTTCACAGTTCAGTAAACACTCAGGAGCAGGTAATGTTCTAATTTGCAAGTGTTCAGGGGGTAAATGGGAAGTGTTTTGAAGCTGAGAGGAGAAAAGCATCAATATGTGCAGTGAAAGAGACTTGTAAAGGCTTGGCATGTAGGCTGTTTGCATGGGGAATATTTATCATGGTCCAGATGTAAAAAATGCTGTGAAAATAATGAGAAAAATGTTAGGTATGTCCTGGCCCTGCTCTCCTGTCTGTAAAATAGTTGTTGTAACATATGATCCCCAAATAAAAGTATTAGATGAAGCAATCAGAAAACCAGAGGTACTTCTCAATTCTGCTTCTTCTGGAAGTCTTTTCTTTTTCTGACTTAGGGCAATGTTCAACTACAGTCTGTGCAGTTAGTCTCAGCTTTCTGAATTATTCTTTCTCAGGGTCAGGGCTGAGATATTCTTGAATCACTAAAATGTGCAGCCTTCTGTTCAGAGCAAGAGCCTTATAAAAGAAACAAGAAACTTCTTATACCATCCTAACAGGACAAAAGAAATAAGAAACTTCTCATACCATGTTAATAGGACCAATGCTGACTTCCTCTCAGAGCTGTTAAAGGGGTTTTTTCCCCCACTGCTGGCTATTGTTACAACACTAATGTATGTCACCTCTTGTTCATACATCTCTGAGCCCAGAAATGATTGCCATTCTTCGTTTAAACAAAACCAGCTGTGCACAGATGCAGTCTGAAGAAAGGAGCATGTGTACCCCTCCCCTGGTTGTGCTTCTGGTGCCTTACAGAGGAGCTTTATCAACTCGGGACAGTCATGCTGCAAAAATGGTTCAAAAATATGCACAAGGGGAAAAAAGCCAACACTGTTTTAGTGCCTTGCACCACTGTCACCATAGTAACACTGCCTTCAAACTAGGCTTGAACAGTGGTAATAAACTCAAGTATTTTAATTGTTCTAAAGGGAGAATTAAGAGACCTTCCAGCTCCACCACTGCATACTTCGTGCAGCTGCTGCTTGTTTTGTTCCACACCCTCTCCCTGTTGGTGCTGCAGCCCAGCTGTACTCAGAGCACTTAAAGTCATCTAAAAGGACAGAGTGGATAGTTTAGCTCTTTTAAAGAGTTGTTTCATGATGTTCTCTCAGATTTACTTTATTTAAGCTTTCTTCTGCATTGGGACAACTTCCAAATCCTACCTTTTCATCAAAGCCAACAAGATTCTGATCATAGCAAAAATGAAAGACTTCAGGATGTGGGAAGCAGCCTAAAGAATTAGTTACCTTATTGCTACCCTGTAAATTAAAAACAGAAGCCAAAGAGCAGCAGAGGTACAGTAGTGACTACAAAAGAAAAGGAAAAAATAACAGTTGTGTGGTATTCTCCAGCCAGAGGTTCTAAAACTAAAATTCAACAAGTTTCCTAGTGGGGATATCAACAGGTTACTAATGGGGATAACTCCCATTTTCCTCTTGTTCTGCTGATCTCAGATTCTTCAGTATCCTGTCTGTGTCTGATTTAATATTATCATCTCTATGTGTGTCAAGTATTTAGGAGATGAACTTACTTACATGACTGTATTTAACCAGCACCAAAGGTGTTGCTAGCTCTGTATTACTGCAACAAGTTTACATTTTCAGAGGCATGAAATGGCCTCATTGTATTAGAAAGACTGAGTGACTGTTGTGGGACAAAACTGTGAGCTGATAAAACTGCAGAGAAATCGTTATGACTACTCTGCACAGAGAGCTTGAGAGCTCTATTAGCTTAAGAAATAGCTTTTGAAATGTTTTTATTAGACCTTTGGGAGCTGTATGGAAATCCCTCCAGACAGCTTGGTGAAACACCGGTAATTAGCATGTGGATTTTTTAATCCAGTGCATAATTGTTTTGTCTTGTGGTATTTTAGAACTAGAGGGTCTTACTTGCCTGTTACTGCTGACAAAGAGGAATGTCATTGGACGTGATGAACAGCTTCCTTTTCTGGTGAAGGGGAGAAATGGGGTGTTGTGTGTTAAAAATGGTTTTACCTGGAAAGGGCTGTGTAGGAATGTACTAATAAAAGGATTGTTTGGAATGCACTGTCACTCTTTCAGCTGTTATGTGAGTTCAGGAAGGCTCAATCCCTTCTGCAGAAGCTCTGAAGGGCATTGAGCCTCCAAATGCTGGTGATGAACTCTACTCAAACCATCAGGATATTGTGGTGATAGTTTGGTTTCTTCTCTTTCTGTCTCTTCAGGCATATGAAAGAAGGTTTCCTACGTGTCCTCTGATCCCTATGTTTGTAGCCAGTGACACTGTAAATGAATACAAGAGTGAGGATGAAGCCATCCACGTGATCGAGCGGCGCTGTAAGCTGGATATCGACGCACCGCGGCTGTTGAAAAAGGTGATTAGCTTTGGAGAGCCTCTTTATACTTTTGGATATCTTTTCACATGAATATTGTATCTTAACAGTATCTACTTCATCTTCTTCAGATTGCAGGAGTGGATTATGTCTACTTTGTCCAGAAGAACTCTTTGAACAGACGAGAAAGGACTTTGCACATAGAAGCTTACAATGAAACCTTCTCTAATAGAGTCATCATTAACGAGCACTGCTCTTACACAGTGAGTAACAGGCTCTTGGTGGTGCTACAGATGGAGCTGAAGCAGTGTTTAGATTTCAGGACTCATAAACAGAAGTTGGTTTGTTCTTGGCTTTCGCCTTGCAAGAAAAAATAGCCAACACACCTCCATGAGGGATAGTTGTTGTTAGTGTTAAATGTAACACACTTACTTGCAGAACCGAAATGCATTTGGCACCCTCTTGCTCCAGTGTCTTCTCAGAGAGCAGAACACAATGTAATTTGCGGTGCCTGACAGCTCTGTTTAGGCAAATCTGTGGTCTGTAGCAGCAGTGTGGGGCTTGGTGATGCTGATGACACCCTGACAGAACTGCTAAAGGAAAGTTCAGCATAGCTGATTTGCCTTCTGCTCAGCTCAGACAGAAGTTCATTGAGTCAGCTATGTTTTAACCTTTTTTTTTTTTTTCATGGTTCTTGGTTCTTCAGTGCAGACACTTTTTGATCCAGAGGAGTCTGGTGGCATGTTTACTGCTCTGCTCTGGTCATGGTTTATTTCCAAATGGCTTAGTCAATGCTCTTAGGCTTTCACAGCACAGACTGTAGCAGTAGAGCTTCAAATCAATGGTAAAGGTCAGATCAAAGCTAACAAATGGAACTGATTTATCTGTACTGTAGCACTCTTTTTATGTACAGGTGATAACATTTTCTGGTGTGTACAGACCTGTGGTTAAAAAATCACTGGATGTCAAACCCACTTGACACTATCTGATTTTTAAAATAGTTATTTCTCGCATTGTTTCCAAAGCAAGTTTAAAAAGAGTTTTCCACCTGCAGTTTTTTGAACAGGGGCAATGCTATACAGAAAAGTACATGTGGCAAATATGTACAAAACACAGTGCCTCTCCTTGCTCTACTCAATCAAGAAATTAGTAGGTAAATACAGAACCAGATTTTTAATTGAGAAATAAACTGTTCTAAAAGTCCATTCTTATTAAACTTAATTTGTAATTGAATTTATGAAAACACAGCAAGATTCTTAAATTATGTTACCATGATTTGTACTTACTTAGGCTGTACAAGCTATTCTTGTACCTCCTGTTCCCTCATGCAGAGAAATCAAATGAAGGGAAATGTTTGTTTTTTCCTGTAGTTGTCTCCTTATAAAGTGTTGATACTGTTCCAAGTCAATTTTAGTATGTTTTGAGGGGAAGGGAACCCTAAGGCATCAGGACAGTTGCATGCTCAGAAATCTAACCTTTTGTGATGTTTGTATGATGACAAATTCAGAGCCCAGCCCTAAAATTGCTTAAACGAGGCTTTTTTAGCTGGAAAGAGCTGAGAAAACAGCTTTTCTCAAGAGTATCAGCATCAGTCGAGTTCAACTATAAGTAGCAACATGTCTGTTTCAGGCTCATCGTGCACACGAAGAGATAAGCCAAGAGGAAAGGTGGGAGTGCTCTAAGCTTACTCAGCTGTCAACTGAGTGAGGAGTGTGCACTTCTTGCTGTGGCATTATCATGAGGGAGCAAGCTAAAATAGTTTTCAGCCTACAAAATACTGAGGTCCTTCATAGGTCAGTGAGGAGCAGTGTGTTGCAGTATGTCAGTTGGGAACAGTCTAGATTGCAGTGCTTGGAAATACTCACACTGTGCTTGCTGAGCTGGCCCTGGGCTATCAGGCACAGCAGAAAGTGGAGGCTCTGGAGGCTTTTACCCTGTTCCACACATACACCACCGTCCCAGCCCTTATCTGGAATGAGATAATGTATAAATATGTTGGTCCTCTGGCTCTTGGCTGGTGCACTAGTGTTTCTCCACCCTCTCCTTTCTTGGGAAAACAACAGAGTCATGGGACTGTAGGAAGCCTTCTCAGCTTTCTGTGCTTTAGTGTTGCCCCTTCCCAACCATGTTTTGCAAGTGAAACAGAAGACTACAAATTCCATTTTGAATGTTTTTGACTGTGAACCTGTAAAACAAGAAACATTTCAAACACAGCTAGGGAAAAACCCCTAAATGGGTAACTAAGGGTGTATGTGACCTCCTTTTAACTTACAGGTTCATCCTGACAATGAAGACTGGACCTGTTTTGAGCAGTCAGCAAGTCTGGATATCAAATCTTTTTTTGGTTTTGAAAGCACAGTGGAAAAGATTGCCATGAAGCAATACACCAGCAATATTAAAAAGGTGAGCCTGCAGTTGGGAAGGAGGTGCCTGGCTCCAGGTTACCAAAAGACTGTGTAGCTGCTGCTAAGTAACAGGCTGCTCTTCTCAGAAGGATGAGCTGCTGGCTCTTAGCCTGGGGCAGTGTCTGTGCAGGGCTGTGTTTCAAGCAGAATCTTTTAATGGGTTTTCAGGCCAGTCCTTTCTGTGTCTGAATGGGTGGGATTTAGTAGCTGAAGTAAATTTTCTCTTTTTGAAGGGAAAAGAAATAATAGAATACTACTTGAAGCAGCTGGAGGAAGAAGGAATAACTTTTGTTCCTCGCTGGACTCCTCCTGTTGTATGTAAATCAGAGAGCAGCACATCCCATGCAAAGAGACCAGTTTCACCTGCTATTAATATACCAGAGTCAACTTCAAAGGAGGGCTTGAACAACAAGGAGGTCCTCAACACCTCGAGCAGCCCCTCGGAGCCCACGGCAGGAACACCAGATGGTATGGTGGTCTGATGTGTTTCACTGGGGTTCTTTGTGCTGTAGTGGCTCTCAGCACTGTGCTGCCTCTCCTGGGCAGCTGAAAAGCTTCTTGTTAGCACTTTGTTTGGTGACATGCAGTGTTAAAGGGCAGGCTCACAAAGCAGTGATCTGTGGGATAGCTCAGGTGGGTGTTACAGGCTGATCTAGTAAATGGTGAACAGAGAAGTAGAAAAAGTCTCTGCTGTTCATTAGGTTGCAAATGAACAGCTGCTTCTTGCCTTGAATTTCAGGGATGGGTCTAACTATGAGCTTCCCTGGACAGTGTTCTGTTGTGTCTTCCTTCCACTGTTAATAATGTCAGTGAGCAACTGGAAAGTGTGGAGCTCAGCCTAGGGATGGATGAGGAATTAGTTGAGAGTCTGTGGGTCAAGATTAAGGGCAGGATTGGAGCAGGGGATGTTCCAGGGAAGTCCTGGAAGGCAGGGGGGCCCAAGGCTGCTGGCTGATAGTCAAGGATCAACTACTTAAAGCTCAGGGCCGATGCATCCAGACATGGAAGAAATCAGACAAAAATGCCAGAAGGCTACTGTGGATGAATAATGAAGTTCTGAGGAAACTCAAGGGAAAAAAAGAGGGTTTTAGGAGGTGGAAGGATGGACAAATGGACTGGGGAAAATATAGAGAAGCTGTAAGAGAAGCTAGAGACACCGTCAAGAAAGCTGAGGCACAGTTGGAATTGAGGT